GCCTTTGCAATCTGAACATCACCCTGGGCAAGCCGCTAAAATGGTTTTCATAGAATATATTTCTAGTAGATCCATGAAATTTGAATGTCACACACACACGCACACAGAGAAGGAAAAGTACAATCTTGGTTTCATATCACTTCAGGCCTGTGATCTGATCAACTAACAGCATCCACTGAAACACAAGCAAGTTTGCCATTCTATTGGTAAGATGTGATGACCACAAAATGCAAAAGAAAAGCTGCAACATGCATCGAACCAGGCTGTATAATGGAAAGGATGGTGGTTGAGTGTAAGTAATGGCCAGGCATTTCCATTTTAAGACTCTAAATAATGGACTATATTGTGTGTGTCTGTGTGTGTGCTGTTTGCCTTCAAGTCATATCACAATTTATGGCAACCCTAAGGCACGTCACAGGATTTTTTGGCATGTTTCTTCAGAGGAGGTTTGCAATTGCATCCCTCTGAGGCTGAGAGAGTGTGAATTGCCGAAGATCACCCAGTGGGTTTTCATGGCCAACCAGAGATTCTAACCCTGCTTTCCACAGATAGTCCAATACTCAAACCACTACACACAATGGGCTGGAACTCTTTGAAATCTCTCATTTTTAAAAAATTCCTCTTCTCCCTCCATAAACTTCAGGACTTCATCCTCCCTACTTTATTCTCACAGCAACTCTGTTAGGTAGGCCAGGCTGAGCAAGAATGATTCCTCCAAAGGCACCCACTGAGTTCCATGGGTCAGTGAGAGTTGACTGTAGAGCATGGATCTATTGAGTCCTAGTCCAACAACCTAACCACCAAATCACACTGGCTCTTGACAGTTACTACTATTGAAGCTAGAAATCAGACTAGACTGGCTAGACTTTAAATTTTGGCCTGCCTGGGAGAGGTGGGAGCAAACTTGAAAAGCTCCACAAGCAATTCTGGGAATATATACTGTTAACTCCTGCTTTCCCTGTACTGCAAACTGAATTGGACCTGTGGCAATTGGGAAAATCCCAGATCACTTTCCTATTAAAGAATGATCATCATTGGATTTTGTTTAGTAGATTTTACTTTACTGAATTGCCAAGATTTAAAAATAAACAAACACCTCTTTTTATTTTAAAAATCATTTCCAGTAATTTGGCACACATATATCCCTCCCATTGTTCAGTTAAATATTATTCATTACACTTAACACCATCTAAATTTCCCAGTGTTGACCTTATTGTTTGTGATTTAGGGCAGAGTGGGCAACTGTGGTCCTCCAGATATTTTGAGCCTATAAATCCCATCTGCCCTAGTCAGTGCAACCAATGGTGAGGAATGATGGGATTTGCAGTGTACAAACACTTGAAAAGCCACAGGTGCCCACAGCTAGTTTAGGGGAAGAACTTCACCTTGAAATGTATCTCACTTATTTTGAAACCTCTTCCCTTAAACTCAGATACATAAAGGTGTGCAAATAATTTATTGTTATCATTTACTTTAGGCTCTTTGTACATGCTCAGATGTACAGTCATCTATGTTAACCTATGCAGCTCACATGATGTTCCAGACAATATTTCTGGTGGGGTTTTTTTGGTCATGGAGAAAGGATTGAAATTATGCCTGCATGCCCGGCCTGTTGTGCTGTAGGCAAATGAGGAACAGCTTGCTTAAGGGAGCAAAAGATATCTCCTCTTGTAAAAAGCATGTAAAAAGTACTACCACTGCCAGCATAGCACCCCAACAGGATTCTGACCAATCCCCAGACTGACTAGTCAGTCCCCACTGAATATACTCCATATACATAGGAGAGTTGAAGCTCCCAACAACCCTGACCCAAGGATTTTGCTTCCTGAAACAGAGCACCACAAAGTGCAATGGGGAGCCAGAATGCATACAGAGTGGCCAAGTTATTTTGGCACCTGAGATGAAGGACTTTATGAGTGCCCTTTCTGAAGCATAGTACTATATGATATGACAGTTTTCTATTTGCAGGTGAGTAAAGAAAGGGGAAAAACATAGGGGGTATTCAGACCCCATTTGTAGGCTGAAGTGGTATACTCCATTCTGCATCTGCATTCCCTTCTCATTCTGCTTCCATGGCAGGGATGGGTAACTATTATCCTCCACATATTTTTGGGCTGTGACTCCCATTATGCCTCATGGTTGGTTATGCTGCCTAAAGCTGATGGAAGTTGTAGGCCAAGAACATTGAGAGTCAGAGTTGACCACCCTAATTCCAATGAGGCATGCTTCGAAACTATCTAGCTCAGGACTGGGAATCATAAGGCTTTATACTAGCTGTTGAATGAAAGGTCAGCCAGAAGTACTAACCAGCCTACTGCAGTGGTTCCCAAACTTTGGTCTACCAGGTGTTTTGGACTTTATCTCCTAGAACAGGGGTAGGCAACCTTTCCCCTTTAAGGGCCAAGGGACTTCAGCTCCCAGAATCCCAGGAGCTATTGGCCAACATGGGACTATTGGCTAACATGGCTGAGGTTTCTGGGAGCTGAAGTCCTTCGGCCCTTAAAGGGGAAAGGTTGCCTACCCCTGTCCTAGAAGCTTAGCCAAATGTGAGGAATTCTGGGAGCTGAAGTCCAAAACATTCGGGGGACCAAAGTCTGGGAACAACCGGCCTAGAGAAGAATGCTGGGAAGACAAGAACATCTGGAAGACTGCATCATTCCCCCTTGGCCAACCACCTGTAGTGAGGGAAGGGATCTCTTGATCCTCGAAACATTTTAGACTTCAACTCCCAAATGCCCCAGTTAACATGGTCAATACTAACGGGTTATCAGAAATGAAGCTCAAAACAATCTGGGGCCACATATTCTCCAGACCTATTTTATAAGATTCATATTGTGCTTTGAAACATATCTGTGACCTGAAGCACACATACACAGACACACACAGAGATTGTGTTAATTTAGCTGGATAATTTTTTCAAGACAAAAATGATAAGTTGTGAACTTGATCCTATGCATGCTTACTTAGAATTGACTTCCCTTGAACATTGGTTACTGAGGGTAAATGGGTCACTGCTTGCTCCTTTGTTGACTGGAAAGTCAGCCACAATGAATACTTCAGAGAAAATATACATCGAGCCCATATCAGTAAAATTCCCATGCTCAAAATGAAACCTCTTTATTTCTGTCAAAACATGTGAGTTTCAGAGGTCTGACAAGAGATATCACTTCACAATGTATTTTGTAATGTCAGCCACACTCACTTGGCCACAGTCCATTATACTTAACGGGAAGCCATTAGGAGTTACCAATAGATTCAGCACTTTAGGAAGTGGAATGTGAATGTGTTTTAAGAAATATTAGAAGACAGTTATACCTCCTCAATTTCATTTTAACTTCCTTCTAAGTAACTCTCTTAACCTCATTCTAATAGTTTAAATATGAAGAATTTTTTTCTCAATCACCGTTTTAATAATAACAACAAGGAATGAGGCCTTGTTAGCTTCTGAATAGTGCTGTGGTATCTTAGGATGCAGTGGCTCAAGTGGTTAAAACGCTGATTCTGTAGATTGCAAGATTGGCAGGTTGGCAGTTCAAGGCCCAGGTTCCCCCCAATGGGGTGAGCTCCCATCACTAGTCCCACTTTCTGCCAGCCTAGTAGTTCAAAAGCATACAAGTGCAAGTAGATAAATAGGTACCACTTTGGTGGGAAGTAAACAGCGTTCTGTGCAATCATGCTGGTCAGATGATTTTTATTTTGTAAGCTGGGAGAAAGGTGGCGTAGAAATAAAATCAAAGAAGCGAGGGTGCTGCTGGTGAGCACGCCTTCATGAAGGTTGCCCAGGTGTGCCTGCGGCGTCTCTGGCACA